CACTTTCACCATCACAATTACCACCACCCCACCCTACCCCAATCATCAACCCACCACTCACCACCATGCCACTACCGTTGTCGTTACGCATGCAACCCCCACCCACACCCACCAATCCACACCCACCTGCAACCCGACCACCATACCACCACTATCATCACACTACACCATGTCGCTCATCCCACCGACCACTATGCTATTACTATCGTCGTTACAGTTACCACACCCCCGTAGAGTGTAAAAGGAATGGGGCGTTGGGGGTAGGGGCAGGGGTTTTACTCTCGTCATCACATCTGCCACATCCACTCCTCCCAAACAAAGATGGTGATTCCAATTCTTTTGAGAGATTCCATTCAAATTCCTACCAACTAAACACATGGTGAAATTCTATTCTAATTCATTGAAAATCAAATTCCTTTGATAGATTCCAATTCCACTTAATTCCAATCTATGAACCAAATGCCCCCAAATTACATAAAAGTCTGACCATTGCAATTTTCGAAGGATAGAGTTTGATATAATAAATTAGTCATGGTTGCACCTCACAAAGTTTTAGCGTGTCACATAGACTACTTAGAACCACCGTCTAAAAAGGTTCCATGAAATATCTAGCAATTGATCAACTTTTATGTAAGTATGCAACATTTGAAGACTTTACATAAATAATTAATAAACCGTCAAAATAATTAAAAAAAATATATCCGGCAATCAATTATTCAACTTACTCTTTTGTCTCACCTCTGTCATTTTTGTTAGTTTATCTAATTAAAACCGAACTAAAATGCTATAATTCAGATCGTCATTTAATAAAGAAAAAAGTTCAGATTAATGTAATCAACTTTATCTTTTTTAATGATTAAATCATAAACTACTTTTTTAAATGAATAAACCATTGAACTTTCTCATTTTAAATAACTTAGTCCCTGAGTACTTTTTTGAATAAATAAACCATAGAACTTTTAAAAATTGTTTACTTACATATTTTTAACCAAAAAAATACATCTAGAAAATTATTAAAAGTAAACGTGAATCAATGTTATCGTTCCCTGACCATACGGCATTCACACTCTTGCACCAGCGCTCCCCCTCGCCATGTCTTGTTGCCTCCTCGTCAACCATAATCCATATTGCATATCGTCGTCGTGGCCCCTACCATTGATCTCCTCTTTTGATATGTTTTTTGTCTTTTGATCACAACAATTTAATGAAATATGTATACATAGATAAAAACAAGAGGGAAAAATGAAAAATAAAACAAACGAAAAAAGGGAGATCGGTGGCAGATACCAACGACCTTGATAGAGAATGGATGACGAATGGTTGGCGAGAGGTAGCGATGACGTTAAGTGCGAGGGGTTTGAATGACGTAAAGTTTCACAATGGTAAAATTGATTTATGTTTTTTTTCCACTTTGAAACCTTTTTTAGCCGGTTACACGTAGTTTTTTTACGTTAAAAGAATATAATTAACCAATTTATAAAAGTTCGATCATTTATTATTAGAAAATTTGTTTAGAGGTTTTATCATTCAAATGAGAAATTTTAATGGTTTATTCGGTGTGAGATGTGGTTATGGTGCGACTGAAAAAGTGCATGATGAAACGTTAATTCAGGCAAAAAAGGTCGTCTTCTATTTTTGGAAGCAAAATATGTCTCTACAATTTCCACCAAATTACGCAGGAAATCTTGAAACCTCGTTTGTTATTCTACCAACCTATTTTGATTTGTCTTTCTCTCCTCAAACAGTTCTAGAGAGAGAAGGAGGTGGATCATGATCTCTTCGTTTTTGATCATTTCATCTCTTTCTCTGTCGTTCCACAGCCATCAAATTCGATAGATCGATCGAGTGAAGCCTTCAATCGTCGTATTAACCATGGCATCATCTAAACGCTCGTTCAAGATGTTCGTTGTGGAAGAACTGGGCGGATTCCCGCATTTCCTGTTATGGGCTTTTCTTGAATGGATATTAATAGCATCTCTTTATATCGATGGTTTCCTTGCATTTATCTCGAGTACGTTTGCCACAATCTTCGAGCTCGAACCACCGTGTGTGTTGTGCACACGTGTCGACCATGCGCTCGTAGGTAAGGACCCACATACTTACTACAATAACTCCATCTGCGAATGTCACAAGAAAGACATATCTTCCTTGGCTTATTGCCATGTCCACCGAAAACTCTCCGATATTCAAACCATGTGTGAAGGTTGTCTTCTTTCGTTTGCAACCGAGAAAGAATCTGATACTAGTACCAACAAATCGATTCTCGGGAGTTGGCAAAACGACAACAATTTGTTTATGAAAGATGATAGGAAGACGATTCTGAAGACGACGGCTAATGACTATAACGACAGTATGCTTGATGTAAATAAGTGTTCCTGTTGTGGCGAGCTTTTGAAAACGAGAGCTGCTTCTAAAGGTTTTGCTAGAAGCTTTTCGAACCTTCGTGCTCTTGGAGCGACTTCTTCTCCAAGAGCACAAGCAGCGGCTTCTTCTCCTCGAGCAATATCATCAACTTTTTCTCCTAGAATGTGTTTCACGCCAACGTCATGGAGAACTGAGGATTCACGATATACAGAGCTCAAATTTGTATCTGATACCGAACCAGATATGCCAGAGTATGACTTCGGATTTAGCACAGATTCTAAAAGTAAGTTATACTTTAACCTGCAAACACAATAAAATCAGCTGTTTAAATGTCTTAATAGACTTATTTATAGGTATGTCTTATGTAAATGTGTTATAATAAGTGGACGACTTCTGAAATAGTGATGCAAATTTCTAATGAATGTTTGTGTAGAAGACATGAAATCTGCAACAATGCAATTGCTACCAGATTCTGAGGATATGAATGATGAGTCCTGCAAAACCCCAAATTTGATCAAAAGTAACAAATTCTTTGGGATACCACTGAATGAGTCAACTACAGTTAGTCCTAGATGGGCAAACAAGACTCCAAAGAAAGCATCGTCATTGGAAAAATTTGATACGTCGTTGGAGATAAACGACGAATCTCCAGGAGATGGTGATTCTTCGAGTCTTCAGTGCTTAAAGAAACAAGCTCGTATAGATCGAAAGAATCTTGTAACATTGACAATGGAACTGGAGGAAGAAAGGAGTGCTGCTGCTGTTGCAGCTAACAACGCAATGGCAATGATCACACGGTTACAAGCAGAGAAGGCAGCTGTCCAAATGGAGGCATTACAGTATCAGAGGATGATGGAAGAGCAAGCTGAGTATGATCAAGAAGCTATTCAAATACTTCAAGATTTGGTAGCTAAGAGAGATGAACATATGAAGGCCATGGAATCAGAACTTGAGAGTTACAGAGAGAGATATGGAGAACTTAGGAAAGTAGGTAGCGACCAATGTGAAGCTGATGCTGATGAATATTACCAGGAGTGGAGATCTCAATCTTTATCGTCTTTCGGTGAGAAATCCGAGTCTGGGACACCTTTGGGAAGAGATTATGACGATTCTGGGAGCCATTATGTTGATCCCAGGAGCCCTTTAGAAAGGGATTATGTCGATCCTGGTAGTCCTTTGGAAAAAGATTATGCCGATACCATGAGCCCTTTAGAAAGGGATCATGATGAGTCCGGGAGCCCTTTGGGAAGTGATCATGATCATGACGAGCCGAAAAGCCCATTGAAAAGGGATCATGAAGAGTCCGAGAGTCCTTCGCGAAGAAATCATGATGAAGATGGTGAGAGCCACTCTGGAAGATCCATAGAAAACGAAGAAAGGGACACCTATGAGGAATCATTGTTCGATTTCGAAAATGAAAAATATCAACTTTACAGTATGTTGAAGAATCTAGAAAACCACATCCAATCATTTGATGATGATGATGAATGGGATGAAGAAGATAAAGATATAGGTAATTAGTAATACTAATATAACTTTTTTTTTTCACTTAATTGTTCTTGTTTTATTCTTATCATCTGCTAAACTAGATAATGCATCTTTAAAGATGATGAATATGTTGATTTTTACAGTTCAAGAAAATAGGGCAACCCTTAAAAGAGAGGTATCTCTAATCAGGGAAAGATTAAGAGCCTTAGAAGCAGATAGTGGATTCTTGAAGCATACTGCAATGACACTCCAAAAGGGTGAGACAGGAACTAAACTTCTAACAGAGATAGCTCAACATCTTCGGAAACTACGTCGATTGGAGGACATAAACACAACAGATAGTAGCACAACGGCTTAGACCCGATTGATACAACAGGTTGAGAGTAAAGTGGTAGTGGTATGATCAAGAACAACTTTGAAGAAAGCCAGAAACTCTCTGAGTTTCCCCAGTTGTAGACCATCTTTTCAGTTTCAGCTTCACTAATTTCCATTATATGTAAGTTTTTAGTTATTATAAGTGATAAATTTTCCATTAATGGCATTTTCTTGATTTTCTACTGTTGGACATAGTAGTATAGGACATCATCACATGTGAATAGTTACCGTAGAATCTTTCTCTATCAAAGAGATGAAGAATTATGTGTCGATAAACAACCCATGTAGAACAAATCTAGATACACAAAAGAAAGGTCATTACATTGCAACTGTCAAAATTTATGTTCAAAGTCTAAATTTAGTGTTGTGGAACCTTTTGATTGAAAATTTTGCAGAGTTCTCTTGCTCCTTTTATGAAACATTTTATGCACCCCTTAATCTAAAAGAGTTGGTTCTAGGATGATATAATTATACAAATACGTGAGAGTTTGAATCTGATAGCAATGATGTCGAAAAATGGGAGTTACAATTCCTTGTATTGGGCTCCTTGTAGGCATTATGCTCTTAAGCCAACAATTTGGAGAGCTGCCATATACATTTACCTCTTATATGATGCTATTGAGGCGAGACAATGTCGACAGCTCGAGTTGTGAGTTACAAACCCTTTTACACAAATATTTATGCCCGAGTTTGGGGCTCATTAATGAAACTTAAGTTTAAAAAGAACGAGTATATTATGATCTAACTTGTTCCTCAACATGGATATTGGCTACCAAAAAGCAAAAGGATTGAATGATACCATTCATAAACAAATGAATATCATCTCATGTCATAAAGATCAAACACTAAAAGGGTAAAGCCAACCATCATCCATTTGCTTTTTTGGGACTCGATGTTTCTAAAACAAAGTACAAATCTTGATGCATGACTTACAACTCATTACAACAAAGGTTGCTAAACAAAAGCTAGGCCTTGGGCTCCTCCCATAACTCACTAGTCTGTGTCTCCTCATGGCTACACTAAGGATTTTCATGAATGATATCTTCGGGGTTCATGGGATTAGTTGAGATGTGCACAGGTTGACTAAGACACCTACTACTAAAGAAATGTTTAAAACCAAAATGAATGAATGTACAAGGCAGGTTACCAATTTTCGCAACTTCCATCTATTTATCTAGTAATTTGTCAAATACTCACATGAATTAGGTTATTTTGAATGAGTATCAACCATTGGAACGCTTAATGGGTATCGTATGATGTTTGATTAGGACAAAAAGTTGTGGTCAAAATGCTCTTTGAACAACAACCTTGAATAAGAGAACAAATAATTTATGGTACATGGAGAAATAGAAGAATCCACCTAATGAATGTGTAACAAATGACCCAAAACTTAATCCCACAATATAATGCCATGATGATCTATAAACCCCATCAAACCCATGCCAAAACACAAGTGTTACTTCACTAATCATACCTTAATTAATACTTTGGGCTTTCAATCTTTTCTACATGAGATCTAAGTTCATCATTCATTTATTGAAAATTAACATGATCCACAACAGGCTCTATAATATCCAACAAAATCAAACTCGAGACCTTTTGTTTAATTGATGATTCTTGGTAAGTCAAGAATGTGGTTAAACCTTGAATCATACAAAAATAACAAGGGCTAATTAGCATGAAATAACCTATTTATCTTGCAAACAACATGACCAAAAGCCTATTTTTGCGAAATGGATAAGCTCCAACTTTGGTTATGGTTGTAATTATCACAAATATTAACACCAAACATGTTCAAACTTAAACCCTTGCAACCAATTAATTTACCTCAAAATTTAACAATCATACCCTACAAAAGTTTAGTACAGTACTGAGTTCTTTATTCATGTCAGTAACCAATGTCATGTCCTTTTCCAACTATACTTGGTACAATTGACGAAATACAAGTCTTTATTGTGGGGGGGTGTGTGTGTGTGTATATATATATATATCAAACGTTATTTTAAAAAGCAGTAAATATTTAAGAAATAAAGAAGTGATTATAGCCCTTCATACGATCAAGACCGTATTTGGCTGCTCATCAGTTGCAACTTTGACTGGTAAAAAATTACGGCTATGCGAAAAATAGAGAGGGTGGTTGGTGTAACTTTTACAAATAGACGACAAATGTGTTCATATGTGAACATAAGTGATTCACATATGAACTATATGTTCATATGTGAACCCGTGTAATGCACATATGAACTATTTTAACTGATTCATATATGAACACGTGTGATTCACATATAACTAATTAAAAGATATATGAACTAATTAATTGATTCACATATGAACTTGTTGGTTCATATATGAATTCATTAAATAGTTTACATGTTAACTGATTAATGGGTTCACATATGAACTCGTTTGCCGCCAACTTATAAAAGTTACGAAACTACCCTTTCATCTTTCTCATACTCATGCGAGGAATTATCTGGTGTTTCACGATCAAAGCCACAAATGATGATCAGATGAAGGGCTGAAGGACTCAGATCACTTATTTACTTCTCAAATATCTTTCCATATATATATATATATATATATATATATATATAGGGGAACGATCAAATGCAAACCATTCAATTTGTACAAACCGTGCAAACTTCATTCAACCAATCACAATTTTTCATTTTATTCATGTTTTTGTAATTATGAGAGGTTGATTAATCATTTTTATTGTGGAGGGTGAATCATAGATATTATCATCTTCATTATTTTAATTT